TCTTAAGTAAACAAAAAAGATGACAAACCTATAGATGCAAAATAAAACCACACTGAGACACCACAACAGGCACTCTGACCTGTTGCTAAGGGGTATGTAAATTGACATTGCCTTTACAGAGAGAAATTTAAGTGTATCAAAATTATCCATATATATTTCCTTTGAACTAGCAGTTACATTTCTGGAAACATACCTTACAAATATACTTACACCAAGTAAAATGACTTAGGTTTGGGGAATAAACATTGTAGCTCTCTCTGCAATATCAAAAGAATGGAAACAAACCAAGTGTCTATCCAGAGACCAGTTAAATACTGTAGCCCAGATACTTCGTGGAAGGGTGCCTGAAGGTCAAAGGGCCATGAATGTTAAGGGTTGAAATAGAAAGACCTCCAAGGGAGATATATGCATAATTGAGATTTTTTTAAAATGACACAAAGTGGGCTGGGGGAGTTGATCAGTGGGCAAATAACCTGCCTAGTGCCTGCCTGGTTCAATCCCCAGTATCACAAAAAAAATTTTTAAAAGATAAAACTTTCATTTAAAAATCAGGAAAATAAGTGTATATATTTGCAATTGCTTGTATGTACAAAAAGGAAGTACACAAAGAGACATGAAATATTTAAAAGTGGTTACCTTAACTTTGGGGATAGGAACCGGGTAGATGAAGGGTTGGGGTTGGGAAGATTCTTTTGCTATATTAATATTTATGTTTTACAGTTTTTGACTCATATAACTAAGTTATTCATTCAAAATTTAAATTAAAAAATACTTTCCCTGCATTTCTTTATCTGGAGTGTCTACACATGGTGCCAGCTCTGGGCTGTGAGGCAACTGGGGACAGTTCTGACACATTTTTATATGGGCTTCAGCCATCTGTAAAAAGGGGGCCCAAAGTGAGACCCCACTGTTGACAACCCTTGGTTCCTGGTTCCCACCATGTCACTGCCCCTCTCTGAAGTAGCATGAGTGTTATTCACTAAGTGTTTCTGCTTTTTTGCCTCTGGAAACATGGCAGGATGGGGCTCCCCACCTCCTAGCAGGTGGATACAGCAGTGATTAGTCCTAGCAAATGAGCTGTGGGAGCAATGGGTGTTATTTCTGTACCAGAGCATTTAATACCAGTGACTGACTTCTAGAGCTCCTTCTTCCCTTGCCATAACTTCTGCCAACACCCCAGAGGGTGGCTGCTATGAGCATGCCTCCTGGAGTGAAGGTGATAAAGGAAAGAGCCCGAGATGAAGCATAAAAAAGATATCAACCTTTGCCATTTGAAACCACTGCAATTTGGGAGCCATTTGTTTCAGCAGCATGGCCTGGCCTGTGCTGACTATAAAGGTACTGATATTAACACACTCCTGAAGCAGCATGAGCAACCCCAAATAGGGCTAAGATGGGAACTGTCCTCCTGAGCTCAAGGTCAGTGGGGCAAGAGCAAGGGTTCAATGCTACTCACACCACTGCCTCAATGGTGTTCTGGATCTTCTGCTGCAGCTCCGGCTCCTTCCGGTACGTCTCCAACAGCAGCAAGGCCTGGTCATAGCTGGCACAATAGACCTTATAGACTCGCTCAAACTCCTCTTGGAATTCCAAAAATACTTTACCTAACAACGAACAAGCAACAAGGGATTATCAAGGGCATGTCCTCTTGCTTAGAGGAAGGAGGCAGAAGGTGAGCTACCTGGCTCTGCGGTGAGACTGCCAGGCTTCACCAACACGTTGCTGTGGGCAAGTGATCTCCTATTTCTGTCTTTTTATCTGTTCCGTAATGTTGCTGAAGGACTGAGTGACACAATGGTGAAGTGCCCAAGCTGTAACCTCCTAGTACAGTTTGAGTATCCTTCATCTAAGATGCTTGGGACCAGAATCGTGGGATCATAATGTATTTGCACATACATTATGAGATATCTAAGGGGTGGAATCCAAGACTAAACACAAAATTCATTTATGTATCATATAGACCTTGTACACACAGGCTAAAGGTAGTTTTATGCCATATTTTTAGTGTGCCTGTGTTTTGACCATGACTCATCACAGAAGGTCAGGTGTGGAATTTTCCACTTGTGGCATCATGTCAGCACTCAAAAAATTTTATATTTTGAAGAGTTTCAGGTTTTGGATTTTAAGATTAAGATCATTGTAATGTCATGTGTAGCTAATAAAAAAAAAGATTAGGTATCATCAACCTATACAGAATAAACAGTAGCTACAATTGCTGCAATAATAGCAAAGATGCCCACATTTAGAACTGCCTTATGGCTTACAAAACACACTAGTGACCATCAGCTCATTTTATCTTTGTGATTGATTCTGTGCAGCAAATACAGTCAGGAACCCCCAAATGTACCAAGGAACACATGGTGCAATACAGGCAGCATAGTACAGATAGGTAGTTACAAACAAGTGAAGGCTTTAGCATTAGAAAGAACTAAGGCCACATCATGGGGCAGACTTTCCCCAGTCTTGTAACCTGGGGAAAGATTTGATTCCTCTGACCCTGCATTTTCTCATCTATAGAATAGGCATAAAGTTAGTACTCACTTCCAATAGTGTGTGTGTATGTGTGTGTGTGTGTATGTGTGTGTGTGTATGTGTGTGTGTGTGACAGAGAGAGAGAGAGAGAGAGAGAGAGAGAGAGAAATAATACATGTAAAGCACCTGAAATAAATTTCACTCACCAAATATTGACCAACTTCTTATTTATTGACTATGTGCCAGGCACTCTGCTAAGCTCTGTGAACAAAACAAAGCCCCTGCCTCAGGGGTTTATAGCTTACTGGGAAAGACAGGCAATAAATACGGCAGTCCTGCCATATCCATAGGTTTTGTACTCATGGACTCAAACAACCGAAGATCAAAAATATTCAAAAAGAAAAATGTGTCTGTACTGAACACACCCAGGCTTTTCTTCTTGTCATTCCCCGCAAGCAATGAAGTACAACAGCTATCTATGATTGTGGTATCTGACAGGATCCTGAAACCTGCAGCCTGCAGATACCAAGGGATGACTGTATACTACATACACGAGGTAGTGATGAGTGTCACAAATTAAAACAAAGTAAAATAAAGAGAGAGTGGCAAGGAATCTATCTGGGGAAAGACTCCATGAAGATACAAGCGAGCATCTGTTAGAGACTGGAAGCAACCAGCCCTGGGAACTCAGGGCAAGCGCAGTTCTCTGGCGTAGGATGAACAAAGACAGAGCCCAAAGGCAGGGGAGTCTCTGCATGAGGGGGCTCAGCTGGAACAGAGCGAACAAGGACATAAGGAGGAAATGAACAGGAGACTAAAGCCCCATCATGGAGTGAGGCACAGTAAGTTATGCTAATCTTACTTGCGATCTTAAGGTGTCCAGATTGCATTCTACAAGGGTGGCAGGAAGCAAATGGAGGGTTTTGAGCAGGGGTGATGTGATCTGATTTCGGCTCAATTTCGGGAACATGTACACTAAAGCTGCAAAGCATAGGGAAGATTAGCACAGCCCCTGTAGAAGAGTGAAGTGCAATTCATGAGGTGTTTCATGTTTTAAAATAAAAAAACTAATGAGATTGGTGGCTTATAGTGGGCGGAAGGAACAAGGCATGAAGAATGAGGGAATGAGGGTGGCCCAGTAGGGAGGAGAGAGAGAGGGGAGCCATGCTTCATTAAAATTACTTTTGTGTATAGCTCTGACTCTTGGGATTGCGGTGATTTTTTCTATAAGCCTAAAAGTGCTCTAAAAGGTCGGGGGAGTCTAAAGGTATAGTTCAGTGGTAGAGCACCCTTGGGTTCAAATTCCAGTACCAAAAACAAAACAAAACAAACCTGAAGAGCATTTGGTGGCCCAGCAGTGAGAAAGTGGTAAGAATGAAGACAAATGTGTTAACCACAACAGGGAGGTGGGAACCAGGACCACAGGCAGGACAGGTGACTTTTCTGCCTGCCAGAGTCATAGACTGGGTCTCTAACCAGGCCTCCTTTGGGACCATCAGATGGTTCTCAGAAAATTTCCACACATGACATCACCACCCCAGGACCTTCACTAGTGCAATCCAGCAAATCCACAGGGATAACTCCTGGGAGAAGGCCCAGGGTCAGGAAGAAGATGACCAAGAAAGGAGACCCCCAAAGCTTGTATCTGGGGAGAATCTGTGGGGTAGAAGGAGGTCAGCCAGCTGCAGAGCAACTCCACTGAGAGCCAGTGTGGACCTGGCCACAAAACCTAGAGCAGTTTCTCCATTCTGTCAACATAGGGATGTTCTCAGGAATGTGAACATGTTAAACACTGTCACACCACTGTGGACAGGGACAGGGGAGTTTCAGTAACTGAAGACCAAAGGAAGGGAAATTCCCAGAGAGTGGAGAGAAAAGCAGGATGTCCAGGACACCAAAGTAAAGGCTTTTCCCTCCCCTTCTTGTCCTGACTCATTTAGGAGAAAAAGAAGTCTGTTAAAAAGACTGCTATGGGGCTGAAGATGTAGCTTAGTGGTAGACTGCCTGCCTAGCATGTGTGAGGCCCTGGGTTCCATCCCCACTACCAAAAAGGTCTTGCCTGAGGTCCAAAAATCTTTAAAAATGCTGTTGCTACCCCCATAGGAAAAGGGCTTTTCTTGCATAGCATGGCCTGGGAAGAGAAGTTTAGCAAGCAGGAGCCAGAGTAGCCTGATCTGGCACATGGCTGCACCTTTAAGAGGTGATTAGGTCACAGGGACCAGATATGATTCGAGGGCCCTACTGCCTCTGACATGTTGTGTTTCAGGGATCCCCAAACCAGACTCCCAATTAGATACACTTCCATAGAATTCTAAAGCCCGTTCCCCCCCCCCATTCTGCAATGACCACGTGCTAAGGACAGTTCCACAGAAAGTGAAGGCCAATAACTCCCTAGGTTTTCTGCTTACCAATTAGGTATACTTGCTCCTCTTCCTTGGAGGCCGTCTCCTGCAGACCATGAAGAAATCTGCTGCTCACCTGGATGATTTCATCCATGTTTGAGAACAGGATATCCAGATCTCCCTGTGGCAGCTGAAAAAAAAACAAAGAAGCCCAAGGAGGTCGCTGGGAGTCTGGTAGAGGGACTACCTGTGACTTTGCAGAGTAGCCTCAACCTCTCACACCATCAGTGTCCCACCACCCAGGAAGACTGCCTGTCCCAGTGGAATGTTTGCAAGGATTTGAAATTTACAAATTATGTTTTTTTTTTCACTACTCTGCAAGGAGAAAGGAAGACATGGAGTACTCAGCATGCAAAAAAGGCTGAACAAGGGCTTCATTCCTAGGTCTGCTGCCAACTGTCACTTTTTTTCTCCCTGTTTCTCCATCTGTCATCTGACAATGGGAAGTTAGATTTCTTGCCAGCTCTGACATACTTGGCATATACCATCATTACCTGGAGATGCACTCCAAACTCCAGCCCCTATTAACCAGGCTACACTACTGTGAAAAAGGATGCAGGACATCTATATGTAACACACCAGCACCAAAGTGTGAGCTGGGTGCACGTCAAGAGGGAACTGTGGTACAACATCTATAGTATGTATGCTCTTATTTTTGCTAAAATGAAAAACAACATATATGTTTGTTTTAGTGCCTATTATTCTGAAGGGTAAAATAATAGAGGTCTTTTATCTTCCACATTATCTATTTTGTTATTTATAATCATTCAAGAATCACTAATCAAGCCAAGTGTGATGGTGCACACCTGTAATCCCCGTGATTTGAGGCTGAGGCAGGAGAACTGCAAGTTCGAAGCCAGCCTCAGCAAGTTAGTAAAATAAAATAAAGAAAGAAATTTGTCTCAAAATAAAAAAATTAAAATTAAAAAGGGCGAGGGATATAGCTTACTGGTAGAGCACCCCTAGGTTCAATCCCAGTACTCAAAAAAAAAAAAAAATCACTAACTGAACGTCCATTATTTATGTATCCAGACTGGGATATACTGAATTAAACAAAGCCTTTGCTGTTCTGGAGCTTGCATACTTGAAATTCTATAGCAAGATCCTATATTGCTTTTAAAATCGGGGGGAAAAAAAGATGCAAAAAGTGAACACTATAATAGAAACCCACGAGAGTGCTGATTTCTCCAAGTCATCACCCTGTGAAATGAGACAATTAGAATGTAGGTCAGTTTAAGTAATTTGTTCTAAATTGAAAAAGGGCTTGTCCATTAGCTCAATTAATTCTGAGGAGCTTATTCCTCTCCCCATTAGCCCATGAATAAATACACAGCGACTCTAAGCTATCCAAGGCCTTGCTGGAGGTTGGAGAGCCAGTAAATGGTAGTCCTGGGGCTTATTGAACACTCAGACTTAATACTCACATGCTTCCTTTCCATCAGGCCTGCCCCAGGACAGATGTGAGGTCTCAGAAGCACACCCACATGTACCCCTATAAGGATGGCCTATGGGTGGCCCCACCCAAGTACCTGCTGGAGGCGGCCCCTGATGTTGGAGGCACAGAGTTGAAGCATGTGCAAATAGGAGACCTCAGTGTCCAGGAGCTCCCTGACAGCCAGTCTCTGATGGAGCAACTGTCTGTCCTCAGAGCTGCGACCTTCCTCGTCCGGACTCCCTGGCCTGGAGGTGGTCTCATGATCACTCATGTCCTCAGGTTCTGGGAAAAACAAAACCATCCTGATTCATTTCCAGGGAGCACTACTGGGAAATGCTGTCCCTAATTTGAAGACAACTATTCATCAAGAGATCTAAAAACATCTCGTACAACAGAATCAAGATGAAGTGTTGATTAGCCTTTAGGGGCAGTATCTGGACTATATAAAAAGGCAGACAACAGCTCAGATCAACTGCTGACATTTTAAATTCATTTCCCAGGACTCAGACAATGTGCTTTCCTGGCTCTTCTATTTTCGCCCCAGCTCTTGACCCAGATTTCTTCATCTGGTTCAGCTCAGTGCTTCTCCTCCTCTCTCTCTCCTGATGGTTCCCCCCCCCCACCCTGTTATGCCATCAGGACATACAACCTATCACCTGGACTACTTCCCCAGACTCTAGGATCATCCTTCCAAATCCACACCTCTCTCCTGCTGCCAACCATATGCACTCATTCTGAACATGTTTCCAGTTTAAACTCCCTGAAACAAAGCTGTGATCACAGTGCTCCCTGTTGTAAGGCTTTTAATAGCTCCCTGCTGCTCAGTGGTCCATTCAGCCTCATTTCCCCTCCAGCAGAAGCAAGTGCATTACTTTGCTCCATACCTGCCTAGTCCTGCCCTGCTTTTGTGCTTCTATACCCCTGTGTCTCTATTCTCCAACATGCATCTTCTCTTAGGCCATTCCTGGTCCTCCCCCTTCTCACTCCACCAGCTGTACTTTTCTGAAACTCCCACTGCCCCTTTATCTCTAAATTTAAAAATATACAGGAAATAATGTGGACAAGATGACCTGGAAAAAAAAAAAAACCTTCCTACTTCCAAACTCTTAGGAATGCCAGGTCAGCTATAATAAACTTTAATTTAACTGCATGACAGAGCTTGCAAGAGAGTTAAGGAAATCACAAGGCCCAAAGCCCAGGGAACTGACCTGAGCAGGGAGTAGCTCATCTGATGCAGCTGTGGTCCTCACAGGGAAGAGAGCATGGTCACTCCCAGCAAACTGGGGACTTAACCAGCTCCTTCAGCCATCTGGGACCCCCCAGGACTTCAGTAAAATCATAAGTCAGGAAAAAAGAAAGAAAGAAAGTCCACCCACATTTACAGAAAATGTCAAAAATACTTCTCCATCTTGGTTTGGGTCCTAGGTGAACTGGTCTTCTAGATTTCTACAATGACTTGGAGGCAAAATCAAGGAAAATAAAAGGACTAAGGGGACAGACAACATTTTGGCCCTCTGCCTCCTAGGTCAGCTGGAACGCAGGGAATGACACAATCCCTCTAAAGGGCCCTGCAATTCCAGTGAGACACCCAACCTCCTGATCAGAGGGATCAAAAAGATCCCAGAAAGTAAGAGTTATCAGTGCATGTGCAACAAAAAGGAGGGTCACTGAGCAGGAGAATGTCCCCCAACACTTCCAACAGAAGCTATGTGGTCCTCAAGACCTGAACCCATCCCCACAGATGGCACAATGGGTAGAGGAAAAACCAAAGAGGACAAGAAGCTCCCCACAAGTCCCTAAGAGTAACTCATTGACCTTGAAAGGAAAAAGGAAAAAAGTTAATTTGGGGCCAACATGAGGCTGCCTAATTGGGGTCTTAAAATACCCACGGAGAAGGCATAACCAGAGGCAAGTGTGCCATGATAGAGGTAAAGAAAAAACACAATCATGGAGCTCTTTAAAAGAAAAAGACCCCTACACGTACATAATTTATGGAATTAGTCATCTTCTGACTTTGGCTCCCTCTTGTATTCTGCTTCAAAATTTACTTTTCAGCTTAAGCATCTGGCTTTTTTCACTTATGAAAATTGGCCATTGTTTAAAGACCCTTGTTCATTTTCTTATGCACCAGTTTACCACCAGCCAGAAAACTTAGGAAATCCTACTGGCTGATGCCCTAATTCCCTCCAGATTGAATGAAAAAAAAGAGGGGAATTTTATGGGTTGGGGATGTGGCTCAGTGGTAGAGGGTTTGTCAGGCATGTGTGAAACCCTGGGCTCAATCCCCAATACTGCCAAAAAAAAAAAAGGTGAATTACAACAGAGACTTTATCAAAAGCAGTGACTCTCTTCCTAGGCCAGCAGATGCCCCATAGGTAACATGTAAAAGTCTAGCATCTCTGCCTTCATTCTGTATCTGTCTCCTTTATTACCTTAAACTTTGTGACCTGCCCAGCTCTACAGGGAGACATGTCAACCATTTAAGGATTGTTTATCCAAAACTGCTAACCCAAGGTTTATTAGCCCTAAATTGATCTAACCTGTTTTGTCCCCCTTCAAGACTAGGACAAGATTTGCAGGGACATTCCTTTTTTTAAAATTTTTTTTTAGTTGTTGATAGACTTTTATTTTATTCATTTATTTATATATGGTGCTGAGAATCGAACCCAGTGCCTCACACATGTCAGGTAAGTGCTCTACCACTGAGCCACAACCCCAGCCCTTGTAGGGACATTTGACTGTCAGCTTTTACAGATTCCTGGCTCAGACCCCTGGAGTTGCACCTAGAAGTCTTCAGTTGTCATCCTACACCTTCAAGGAACACTGCGAGGTACATCGCCCACAATGAGACTGTCCCCCAATCAGGGGCCATCATCTCCTGGGAACTGTATTACCCCCCTTTCAGAATCACAGGTCTGAGAGATAAACCTCCTGAGCAGCAAGTGGAAATTGCCCCCTCAAGAGATAAGAACTTCTCCAGAGCCAGTTCTTCTGGCAGAACCAGAACTCAAATAATGATCAACCAGACCAATTTGAGGAAGATTGCTTAATTAGGCACACTTCTCATCCCTTGCCCCAATTCTTCCTCCAACTAAACCTAAAGCTCATGGCAGAGCTGAGCTATTTGATCTCACTTATCCTTCCCAATACGGCCACATTGATTAAATCTATTTTTCGGCTTTTCACCATTACCTTTCTGTTTGGTTTGGGGGGTAAATGGATGGATCTGGTTTGTTGGAACCCGTGGAATCAGGTCTCTGACCTAGGACACTGGAAACAGCTATAGGAGAAATAACATATCTCCAGGAGGACACATCTTAACCTAAGCTACAGATAACCATGTCCTTCAAATGAGTTTGGATTCCAGAATTACAAGAAGACCATTTCTTGTAATAAGTGAGCACAAAGCAACGAGGAGCAAGATTAGACCCCAAATTATCAGGTAGAAATGATAATACAAAGGGAAATGAAAGGCATTACAAAAAATGAAAACCTATATGATTTTTTAAAGCAACTTACAGAAATTGAAAATTTAGTCTTTGAAGTTAAAAAAACTGATTAGACAGATTAAGAAGACACTAAGGAAAAACAAAGACTAAAAGGGCAGATAGATCTGGAGAAATTTTCCAGATTGTTAAACAGAGAGAAAAATATGGAAAATACTAGAGAAAAATATAAGGGATATGGATGCTCAAATTAAAAAAAAAATCCACATAACAAATGCAAGTCCTGGAAGGCAAGAATACTAAAAAGGGTACTGAGAGCCATGGGGCACAACTGTAATTCCAGTGACTAAAGAGGTTGAGACAAGAGGACCACAAGTCCAAGGCTAGCCTCCACTACTTAGTGAGATCATGTCTCAAAAAAAAGGAAGGGGGGCGCTGGGGATATAGCTTAGTGGTAGAGTGCCC